AACATCTGGTCATGAAGTCTTGGGGGGTGCTCGCGTGCAACTTGCTTAAAGTTCCTGGCTTCTCTTGCCAAGCTCGACGTTGACAGCAAGAAAACATCGCACAGGTTCCACCTGATCCTCAACAACCACGAAAAGTTCCAGGATTATGTGTATTTGGATGGTGTTGACCGACGGTAGGAATGTGCGAGCAGAAGTCTGCGATGACGGGCAGGCCTCGCGAAGCAAGAACGCTTGACGACAGCATTATTGCAAAGTAGCAAATTCCTTATGTTTATTCCGGACGCGGAAATCTATTTATACTCTGGAGTACAGTACAGCGAAATCGACTAAATTTACAGTTAATCCGTGTCCGTGGTCGTATCCGTGTCATTTTTCTCACGGACGCGAACACGGATTGAATTGCGAAATCTCCGTTAATGTCTCGAAATGGAGAAGCACGGGATACATCTGCAATTTGATTAGTCAGAAGGTTTTATTCGATAACTTCATTGGCTAACTCACTGTCAGTCGATTACTGCTTATTCGATTGGCAGCCCTACCGGTAGTCCATTTTGAAATCGAATTACCAATACTACCGGTACTGGTAACGTTACGTAGTAGTTTGAGTACTGTAAGAGCCCTCCATATAAAAATGTCCTTTTTGATTTATCCCATTTCGCCAGAAAATGGAATAATATTTTTGAAATGTTACCAGACGCACCCCACCCAGTAGAGTTACCGTGTAGCGTATATTATTCGAGACACCTTTTATATTCTGGACTCCTCCAAGAAAGAATAGTTTTGCCTGTCACTCGAATATCAAGTTGCACAGGAATCCCTTCGCGCGCTTGCATACCTCTTATATTAAATATATACTCTCTGCATTAATCAAGTATGCATTTATAGAGGGCAAATTAATAAGCTGGTTAAGAACAAGATAGTAGACTACAAACACCGACTGGAAGCGATAATGGTTATTTGCTTGTAGCTCTCCGCGCCAAAGGTTTTTTGGCGCGGAGAGCTACAAGCACACCTGTGATCACTCTGAAAGCCATGGCCGACAATGCTGATACAGTCATCGCGAGACGGAAGTCTCCTGGTCGCCCGGCCTTCAAGTACGGGCGCAAGGCCGTGCCAAAGCTGATCAAGAACAAGACAGTAGACTACAAACACCGACTGGAAGCGATCATTAAAGTGTCTGAGATTGGCATGTGTTTCTTTCTCGACTCCTACTGTGCCAACTCATCTGCCACCGAACGAGAGAGCATAAGGAAGAAGGTTCATGGATGGGTGGCACGCCGCCAGCACGTCGAGACTATGGCCAATCGCACATGCACGAGCCGCCAGAAGACTGCCCGGTTGCGAGGCATCGGAACAACCCTGCCACAAGAGGTAGAGGAGCAGCTGGCGCGATGGGTGCATGGTATGCGCAAGGACGGTATACCTGTCACATATGCCATGCTCAGATTCATGGCATTGGAACGCCATCGACGTGGGTCTGACTGAGGCCGAGTTCAAGGCCGGGTGGCACTGGATCCGTGGGTTCAAGCAGCGCAACAACCTCACGTTTCGAACGAAGACACGCCTTGGCCAGGACACGAATGAAGATGCTGCTCGTACCCTTGAAGAGTTTGCCGAACGTATTCGCGGCGTCGTGGCGGAACATAGGATCGAGCGCATCTACAATGCGGATCAAACAGGGGTGAACTACGAGTACCTCCCAACGAAGACGCTCAACGCGGCCAAGGAGAACACGGTGTGGGTGAAGTGCGGCGGGAGGACCAAGGACAGAGCGACGGTCATGCTTCTGGCGGAAAGCACGGGCGCCAAGCACCCGCTCTTCTTGGTCCTGAAGACAACAAAGTCGACCGTGAAGGAAGTCGTGCAAGAGAACCTAAAGAAGCGTCAAGGGTTTGGCAAGAAAGTCTGGAGGGAGGTGCTACCTCTGCAGCGTGCGCACCGGTGCCAGATCAACGGGAACCCGACAGCATGGTGGAATGCAGGGATATCTCTTGCGTTCTTGAAGTTCCATTTTGCGTCGCGCGCGGACCGGGCAACGAAGAAGGTCATTCTGATCTGGGACGACTTCAGCGCGCACTTCACCGAGGAGGTCGTGGCCTACGCTGAGAGTCTGAATGTCGTGCTGGAGCGTGTTCCGCCGCGATTTACCTGGATTTGCCAGTCAGCGGACGTCGCGTGGAATCGTCCCATGAAGGTCATGCTGCGTGCCCATTGGCTCGACGAACTGAAGAGACAAGTGCGCCTCAGCAAATAAACGGGGTCAAAGTTGGTGCTGCGTGGCCCCTCTCGCTCTACGATTGTGTCATGGGTGACTGGTGTGTGGGGTGACTTGCCTGTGGCCACCATTTTGAATGGTTTTCGCAAGTGCCAATTGGTGAGCGGTCCTGTCGAAGAAGTTGCTGGAGATGTCCCTGCTTTGGATGATGACACACTTGGTGACCTGTTGACCAACATGGCCATCGAAGACACCATTCATCCAGATGAAGACATTGACTGCTGTGATGAAGCTGAAACGTCTGAACAAAATTAGGACAACTCAATATATTACCTGTCCATGTGTATACAATATTTGAAGTTCGCTTCCTCTCAACTGTTCCTCCCCTTGAAAATTAATTTCACTTCCCAGCTAATTGTTTAAGGTGTTGATTAGGTGAAAATCCATATATGAAAGTTTGTATGTCCAGAATAAATTACACAACCTCACCCCTTCCCGCCGTCGGATAAATGTCCCGTGACTGTCCAGAATAATATACGCTACACGGTAAACGTGCACGCGAAAACAGTTAAACCGTGCACTATACGTATGGGCTCCTAACGCAAACCAATTCCATAACGTTAAAGTATTAACGTTAACAGTAGTACTTCACCTCCCGCGACCGACAATACTGAACTACTACCAGTAGTACTACGTACTAGTACAATGTAGTACTATGCGTAGTACTATTCCGAGTATTAAAACTTATTAAAACTTACTAACCTGGTATTGTCGATTTGATACAAATTTGGGGAGGGGGTGCAATCGAATCGTGCCAACCAAACCGATCCACAATCGATCTGATTGGTTGAATTTCATTGAAAAGGTCTTGATTGGCTAATAATTTTGATCTGATGTAGCCAATCAAATCAATTTAAATTCCAACGAGAAACCACACCACGAAATTTCACTCGAAAGCACAATACTCTGTTCCATAGCTTTTGCAGCATATCATATATTTATACGTTTTATCTTAGTTTTTGTAAGCAACGGTAATTTTAATACATGCTTGTAGTTTGTATACCCATAATAGAAATAGTATAATAAAATAGATCCGGAATATTAAGGATGATGAAAAACCAGCAACTTGGATGACCTTTGCAGGACGAGTTATGCCAACACTGTGGCGACCTTACTACAGGTCAAGTTGATATCTGGTAACATGGGAAGCTAATGATTGGCACTTTATACGCGCAAATGCTGAAAATACAGCGCTGCAGTCGAATCACAAACGTGGAGCGACTTACGAGCACATCTGGATGCCCAGACGAGCTGCGAGTAGATGGGGAGAGGTAAGGACATCACACGAGCATACAGTCTTAAGCTTACAAAAATACAATCACTATCGACTGTGCACACGGTAAGATTTTCTGGTTTGAAAATTAAGGTCACAAAGTTTAGGGGTCATGGCGCACTAACTACTTTGACTTTTCCGGAACATGAGGTATAAATCAAGGCTGGAATATGTATCTATCGAATGAGCCAATCCAATTGCAATTACGAGGAGAAATGTAAAATTTAGTCCAATCAAAAGTCAAGTGCTGCAATAATTATGGAACAGAGTAGTACAATAAAATATGTAGCGTTGCAGATGATGTCGTAGTCGAACCTGCCGACTCGTACTTGCTAAAAGTCTCAAGCACAGACACTCCATGGTAATGTTCGTGTGTTTTCGCCTTTACTATTACAACTGAACGAACCGGTGGGCATACCCTCCTCCTTGGGCGATCATGTCAAAGAAGATGCCGCCTTGTGTAGCTAGCACCGCGGGGGTGTCGTTCTGCACGAGCTGTCCTTGTTCAAACACAAAAATACGATCGTAGTCGAGCACTGTATCCAATCGATGGGCAATCGTAAGCACGGTCGAGGTCTTCAACTCTTCCCGGATGACTTTTTGCAGCACCTTATCAGTCGCGTGGTCTATCGCTGCAGTGGCTTCGTCCAGCATGACGATCTTGGCGTTATGTAGCAGCGCTCTGGACAGGCACAGCATCTGCCGCTCGCCCACGCTGAAGTTTTCTCCGTTTTCGTCGACTTCTTGCTCGAGTTTGGCATCTGAGACGACGATTCTGTCGGTGAGGTGCACCTTTTTCAGCACGGCCCACAGTTGGTCGTCGGTAAAGTCATGGAATGGATCCATATAAGTCCGCAGTGGACCTTTAAATAGCACTGGGTTTTGCGGAATTATGGCCAAAGACGACCGGAGTTGCTTGAGGCCGATGGTTGCAATGTCCACGCCGTCGATGGCGATCTCTCCGGCTGCCACATCATTGATTCGAAACAACGTCATGATCAAACTGGACTTGCCGGCACCGGTTCGGCCCACAATCCCAATCTTTTCCCCTCCAGACACATCAAACGACACGTTTTCGAGCACGAGGGGGTCGTCTGGCTTGTACCGGAAGCTCACGTTTGTATACGTAATCCGGCCGTGGGTGGGCCACGAAGCCAAATTAAACGGGGTGTCGCGGCGGCCTTCGCTGGGCAGTGTCGCATATTCGTGCAGACGTTCGGGGGCAATGAGGGCGGTCTCGAGGTTGGCCCACAAGTTGACCAATTTGGCCAAATTCGCCGGAATCGTGAGTCCATATGAGACAATCAGACCCAAAATCCCCGCTGAAATGGACGACGACATGACGACACACCCCAAGAGTATCACAAGCACGATCGAGTTGGAGATAGCTGCGACACGGAGGGCAAAGCACTGGTTCAGTGACGCGCTGGCAAACGAAGCCGCCGAGTAGTTTTCTACTGCCACGTCATGGAGGCGGTAGAATCGGCGCTGGTAGTCGAGTCCAAAGGCGCGGATGACAATAGCTCCATCCACACCTTCGCTCACAAGAGTCAGCAGTGGCGACAGGGTTACTTTTTTGATCCGGTTCACTTCGCGCAGAGGTGCGATAAAGTACGACCCGAGCTTAACATAAACGAAGACAAGGGGCGGGAGGACCAGTGCCATCCACTGGATCGTCCCGACACTCAGAGCGACCTTCCCCACGGCCGCGGCAGTCTGCGACAGAATCGGCGCCATCGACATGGGCAGCATGAGGTCGCACTGGAATACATCGTCCCCGCATCGATTCAGGATACGCCCGATGGGATTTGTATCGAAGAAACGCATGGGCGAAGCCATGAGTCCCGTCCACATGCGCTCAAAGAGACGCTTCGAGCCTCGGAGCCCCACTACGAGCACTGTGCCGAACTGGGCGATCATGGCAGTACAAGTGGCCAGCACGAGCACTGCATAGATGGTCATGTTGTAGCGGGTCTCGACCTTGATGTCTTGACTGGACGACGTGGAGTTGCTTTGGTTGGTCCAGCCCGTGAGCCATAGATCCTTGCTGAGCCGGACGGCTTCTGTGACTAGGCTCATGCCGACCATCGCCGCCACGGCCGGCCAGCCCCCTATCGCAGACATGTACGAAGTCACGACGGCCTGGGACACGCGGCCACACGCGCGGTCTTCGTCCACCGTGAGCACGTTCTGCCCATTTTGACCGGCGGCAGACATCCGGCGACGAGGCGTCAACAGCATCGACGGCATCACCGTGTCGCACACGGGTCGTCCAAGTATGATGGACACGTCTTCGTCACCGTCCCAGAACCCGTCGCGGCTGGGCGTTGGGGACGACATCATCGACAGGTGTGGCAGCCGCATGGCGTTCACCGGTCTGTCTTCCACGAGACTCCCGTCTTGAATGTGGAATGACCGGTGGATGGCAGACGAGTGGATGATGTCGGGGTTGTGCGTCGCCAGCACCACCGTCTTGTGTTTGAGCAAGTTCTGGAAGCACTTGGTGAAGATTTCATTGGCGACGATCGCATCCACGGCCGACAGCGGCGCGTCCAAGATATAAATGTCCGCATCCGCATAACACGCCCGCGCCAAGCTCACCCGCGCCTTCTGCCCCCCAGACAAGGTGACGCCCCTGAGCCCGATCTCAGTGCGGTCGTTCGCGGGCAAGTTGCTTAGATCCGCCGACAACGCACATGCATCCAGCACCTTTCGGTACCGCACGTGATCATATGGCCTTCCAAATAGAATATTGTGTCGAATGGTTGCATTCTGGATCCAAGATTGCTGACCAACATAAGCCACGCGGCCAGCCACGACCACATTTCCGTCATACTTGTCCATTTCGCCAAGGAGGATCGAACACAGCGACGACTTGCCACTGCCCACAGCTCCATGCACGACCACAAACTCGCCTTGGCGGATTGACCACTGGAGGTTCTTAAACAGAGGGGATTCCTTTTCCCATCCAAACTCCCCATCCGAGATGCGAATCACCACCGGTTGGTGCACATCCTCCACGACACCATCGACGAGGTTATCCGGGTTCGTCTCGTGCATATCCAGCACAAACGTGATGCGTTTCACAGACACAAGAGCCTGGATTGTAGCTACAAACACCATCGGGAGGGCTGTAAACGCTGCCTGGAGGTTCTCAAACAGGGCTAAAGTGGTAAAGACGATGGTCACAGTCAAGAGCTGGCCCATCCACATGGCATATGTTGCAAAGACCACGACTGTGATGAGCACGGGCGCAGTGTGCACACTCGTGATAAGCACGAGGATGGTCTTGACAAACAACCACAGCGCATCCAGTTCCTTCCGCCGTAACTCTGTCACAGACGCCGTCAACTTCTCCTCCCACGCATGCAACTTGACAATCTGGATCGCTCCGAACAGTTCGTTGATGACTTTCATCCGGTTGTCTTTGCAGGTCAGGATCATCCGCTGCGCCTTCCCCGCGAACACGCCGACGCCGCCAGACAGCATGAGGATCGAGAAGAGCGCGAGGAACCCGGCCCAGATGGCCCACCCGACCTGCTGCTGGATCAGGTACAGTGTCACACCCACCTGAATCGGCACGATCCACGCCATGTTCATGTTCGCCGACAGCCCCATCACGTTGACCACGTCCACGGAAAACAAGTTGGCGATATCCCCCGCCGTCTTGTCCTTGCGGGCCTTGGAGCTCAACTTGAGCGCTTTCTCGAACAACATGGACCGAAGGCACGCAGTGAACTGGATGCCGATCACTTCGCTCATGAAGTTCATGTGAGACTTGAGCAACGAGCTCAGCATCTGCACAAAGAACAGCGCCACGACGAGGACGACCCCGCGCGTCCAGTTGCTGGTGGAGACGGTGAGGATGACCTGGGGCAGCACGTACGCAGGGCCGAAGAGGTCGCACCCAGAAGACACGACCTGCATGACCGCGATCACGACCAGCTTCCACTTGTAGATGGAGAAGAACGCCCGGAGCAGTCCCCGGTGTTTGGCATGGTACACGGCCAGGTACTGCTGAAGCAGCGGACCAACCTTGTTCGAGTCTTGGAGCTCCCAGATGTCGGACGGAGCCAGCTGCCGCTCGTTCCCGACGGAGATGAGGCGGTTGCACCAGCTAAAGGTGGACGCGCTCAAGAACCCCGACGCGTCGCGCGGGTGGATGGCGGTCTTGACGTCGCCTACCCCCTGCGGAGGACTCTGCAGGCCGCTAAAGATCGTCTTGATGCTCGCCATGGAAATGCTGGAATGACGTCGTCACACATGCGGACAATGCATCAGACTCGAGAGATTAGAGCGGTGGCGGATCCATCGTGCACCTCTCCAATAGGGGTGTGTATGCTATACGTTGTAGGTGCGCCCAATGTCACCTTTTTGTGCGCTGGATTGTGACTATTTTGAATCATGACCAGATATTATATCTGTGAAACAGAGTGAAAATGATCAAATTCTGGAAAAATTGTTGAGAACTAATAGGACATGGAGCGATAATATGTCCAGCTGCACGGACACTAACAGTAAACTCGAAACATGTCGGGCATTTTTCAGCTTAATTCGTCCAGGGCTTGTACGTTTAAGTGCATTTGAATCGACACAGACGACCAGGTCGATGCTAAGCCCGCTTGGATTCCCTCATGCTTTGACAAAGGTTGAAATTTCGCCCATATACATCAATAGTTAGGTTGGTTTTGCAAATGTACGTCGCGTTCCGAACCATGCTTTTTGTGTCAGAGGCAGATCGAACGGGATAGCAAAAACATATGTATGTATATATGTATGTATGTGTACGTATAGTTGTCTTGCACGAATGCGTTGGCGTCTACTCACAAATATCCGTAGAAGTATACATACAAATGTATGTATATTATCCGGATTTCATCCAGCGGGAATTCACTTTGTCCAGAGATCGTACACACGCAGTGGGAGTTGTCCTTGCTTGCCCCCTCGTGCAAACAACGACACAGCGACGTCATTTCTTAGTACTGTGTGCGTTAAGCTACGTTATTGCGCCCAGTTATCTTAGACATCCGGTACAACCTCAATGCTGTGTCCGACGCCAACGCTCTGCTGGACTTTCGCTTCGACGTCATGGGAATGAAGAAGTTGGAGACGTGGCGGCGCTGAGGTGTCTCCATGCCAATCATATATGCAGTTATCACGGAGCAGACCGGAATGCCGTGAGATCTGCAGTTTTCGCGGAATGGCAATCAGATTTAAGAGGACCTGTTCGCGTTCTACACAAGGTTTGACAGGTCGACTTCTGGTTTTTGGCAGATTTGTGGAATGCGACCGCCAACGGACACTTGCAAAACCTATTGTATGTGTAGACGGAATCAGTGACTCAAACTGGCTCACCCACGTGACGATCACCAACCAAGAATTGGCCATCTGGTCCAACAAAGGGTGTGTAAGTTGCAAACGTACGGGACCCCTGGCTTAAATAATCAAACTTGATTGGTCATAACAAAAATTCCAGCCCAGGTGTCATTCACAATTTGTTGGGGATAAAGAGTTACGATTACCAGGTAATTGAGTTTGGGATTATCATTATTAAGACATTCCTCCTCGTAGGGCCGATACTGGAACCACAAGTTGTGATAAAGAGTTAACGCGTTTCGCCCTGACTTTTTTGTTGTTGTTTAACAGAACGTAATGTTGAGTGGTTGAGCGGACTGACTGTGGCTTCTGTTTATTGGATTTAAAGGGATTACGTTCGAAAGGGCTGTGGGAGATGGTGTAAGCTCGATTGGCCTTGAACAGACCCCGAAAATATATGCAATCAGCTACCTAAGAGCAACTCCACTCGTGGATTTATCGAATGAGATTTATTCGGATAATGTACGGATAACAGCGAGATTTATTGGAGTCCCAGGGATAAATCTCAATTTCCCCACCCATCAGATTTATAGGCCGCCGCACTCTGACTACTGGCAGCTGCTACAGCGGCAACAAATGAATCCCACACGATGACTACCACATCACATACAATCTACTTTTAGAAATGTATGATGTCGATGCGCATGCCGCAGTTCGTCGCCGCAAATTATCTCAACTTCCACGCCTAAAAAGAGGGCTTATCAATTATCACAGCATGCGTATTCTCATACCATGAGCCAACTGTGATGTGGGCTCTGACAAAACAATCTATGTGGTGCTCACTAATTCGTTTACCCTGCCGATGCCGCCATCACCGCCCTTACAATCGGGGCGACTTGGTTGTCGCTGCGATGTTGAGGGTATGGCGACGGCGTCAGCAGGGTGGACACATTGGCCATTCGACGTAGGACTGCGACAGTCGCTGGCATTCAGAGGTCCAATTAAGCATTTACATGGGTTATCGTACATGTGCACAGTTCACTGTGACGCCGCCGTCGCATCTCGTGGTCGTTGCTCCTCCGAGTCGACATTGCCCGTTGAATTTATATGTATATTATGTGATCGAACTTCATTAATCTAACTGTAAACCAAATATTGCTTTGGATTATTAATTTTGATATTACTATGAATCCGGATAGTATAAATCTAATGGATAAATCGAGGCGAAAAAGTCTACTTCGAGGTATTACTCGACTACTTTCGAAAGAGCTCTAATATTTAATATTATAGAATTTTTTGGGGTCAGATTTATATTTGGATCTTTCAAATATAAATCTGACCCCTATAAAACCTACCGGTGGGAGAAATAAGTCCGGGGTAGTCCTATCTAAGGGTATCCGTATAAGTCTGCGCTATAACTCCGACTGGTGGAGTTGCTCTAACGTAAAGTGCTAATTAATGCACGTTGATAATTCGTGGATTGCCCTGAAAATTGTCTACAATTTAGGTCACTTCAGGATTCAAAAACGATTCTCCAAAAAAAAATTTGTACTGCAACAATTGGCATTCTACGTTACAACATACAGATGTACTACAGTACTAGTTAGTACTAACGTTACTCCATTGTGTGGCTCGGCGACACATTGGTATATAGATGCACTATTGATACCTCCGAAACCACGTACCTTAAACGAACAAACAACCCATCCGTGGCGAGCTGTCACAATACTCGACAAGCGCACTCTGACACCCCGAAACCCTGAAGTACAGTAGTACTCCGGAGCACTACGAACCAGTAGTGCAGTATGTAGTAGACGTGATTGAAACATGACTGTTGGGGTCCACTTTTACTTAAACCTCCTCTCGAACGACGATGGTGGAGTATTCCGTGGTGAAATTTCAAGCGGCCAAGTTGAAGTTTGACTTGTATTCACGCTACAGAGTACTGATGTCTTCGGGTTATTTCGGGGGCTCGTGTGGGGTGGGGAGAAGGCCTGGAAATGATCTGGGTAATTCTGGGGGGAGATGTCGACGCTACTGCTGTTTTGACGAAGTGAAGGAAGTTGTCAGGGCTGGAGTACGTTGCCGAATTTAGTCGATGGTTGGGTCTGCGTTGGATTTCGAGTAAGTGGGGGAATGTTGGTGAAAAGGAAGTTGGAGTGGTTAGGTAGGGAGGGACTCTTGCTGCAGGTGATGTTAGTGTTCGCCGGGTGATACAGACACTAGTGTTGGTAGGTTTGTTGCGAACGGAAAGGGGCTTGTTTGGGGGTAACAAAGTTGGTGGAGTGTAGTAGGTGTTGTCGTGGGTTCACGGGCTTATATGCTTCCAGTTGCCTGGCGAGTGCTCTACATCGAAATTCTACTTGGCGGATTCCATCAATGTCTACGTCAAACTCCAAGGATGATCGCTATG